ACAGACACATGTATATACATATATATATATATAGATATAGATATATATGTATATCTGTATATACACATATATAGGTAATCCTTTTAAATAAATTTTATATCATACACGTTTAATTATTTACACAACAGTTCACCCAAGTCTTTTTTCCGTTTATCGATAATCTTCTATTTTACACTATTCTATACTGTACACTGAAAATCTTTGCACCGTAGAAAATCCCAAATTTAAGGATGTACAGCGGCACCGATTCGCTGACCGTAGATCGCATACGGTGAATAATACGGTCCTAATGCGTTAAAAGCGCTGTACGGTGAGGCAGCTAACGACGCTGGAAGAGGTCCCGTCGGTGGCTTTCCATATGGGTGATATCTGGCGCTCAACGGACTCAGAGATGGCGTCGGATACGAGCCGCCGCTCGCACGATGCAACGCTGCCGACGGCGAGAGCAATGGATGTGGATGCGGATTGGTGAGCAGAGCGGCCGAAGATGAGGCGTGATCACCGCTTGTTAAACTGGTGTGACTACGAAGAGACGTGGTAAATCGTTTTCCGCAGTAAGAATCGCCAACGATCCAATTGCATACGTACGGTCTACCGCCGGTTAACGTAGACGGGTAAGAAAGCGACGGAGGAGCCATAGGGCCGAACGACGATAACGCCATCGCTAAACCGTACTTCTGATGATCACATTGTGTGCATCCACTGGGACAAGTTCCGGTTCCCATCATTAGCTGCGCGCTATGCATACTGTATTGACAACCGGTACAATAGGGATCTTTGCAAACCGGCACCAAAGCTTCTCCGCCGGCGGGAGTCTTGACACGAGCGTAACTCAAGTACGGATTTCCACCCGTCGGAGTGCTCGAGGGATAACCCAAGAGAGCCGCGGCAGCGGCGTGATGGTGAGAAAATGGAGACGCTCCGGCAAACGGTGGTCTGAACGCTGGATTTTCTGTCAAGCCCGGTGGACAACAGAGTGGATTTCCAGTGAAGCCAGGAAGACTAGGTTTGTAAGCACCCAAGTTCGAGTCTTTGGCATGGCTGCCAGAAAGTATCTCCATTCCGGAACGAATGATCGGGCTGGTACCGTTGTTATTGCGCGGCGATCCGTCGGCTTTCTCTCGATCCGCCGGT